AAACTTTTCAAAGAAATAGCAAAGATGCACAAATTAGAGCATTGCATTCTCTGACATTTCCTGAACTTTACATGCTAAATTTGTAACTCGATATGGTATTCTACGCATAGTCAAAAGAATGTACTTTAATTTATTATGAGTTTCATTAAAATCTATTCACTTTTAGTTAAAAAAATATTTACCAAAACTTTTCAAAGAAATAGCAAAGTTGTACAATTTACAGCATTGCGGAATGCTCTTTGCATTGATGAGAATGCCGAAGAATAACTAACAATGGCAGATTTTTGGCTATGACGGTAACATATATATATAAATCGAATAAATGAAGAGGGAATAAAAAAAAGGAAGAAAAAAGGATGACAGGAAGATAGAAGAAGAAGAAGAAGAAGAAAACATGTTGGGGATGAAGTTAGGGTTGGTATTCGTTTAACGTAGGATTTAATCGAAGGACAGATGGTTCCTCATCCGCGATTTTCTTTTCTTTACGGATAAAAATCCACCTACTACGTGTGACTGTACATCCATCTAGCTTGGTATATTTTTCTTTCTTTCTTTCACACACACATATATACCTGGTAAACGAAAGAAAAGAAAAGAAAAGAAAATAAAATAGAAAAGGAATAATAAGAGAAGAAGAAGAAGAAGAAGAAGAAGAAAGAAGATAGAAGAAGAAGAAGATATAAAACGTGGAAGATAAATCACGCGGTGTGCTGTTAGGTCCGTGCTTTTCTTCTCTTTCCATCGTTCAACCCTTCCAAGTCATCCCTCTCACTCACTCACTCACTCACTCACTCACTCATTCATTCATTCTTACTCTGTCTCGTTCTCATTTTCTTTCTCTCTTTATCATTTCACTTCCAGGTCGTCGTTATTCCCGGCATGACGACGACCCGTTTTCCATGACGTGCCATTATTAAGACGCCTTCAGGCCGGACGCCAGGGGCCGGGCTTGAAATAGAGGGTGGTGGGTGTCAGAGAAGAAGAGGGTGGTAAAACGGGTGGTTTACGGTAGGTGATACTCACCACTAACCACCACCTTGCTTGCTTTAAGGTTTACGTTTGGATTTTTAATGTGAATAATAGAACTTTTGACATTTCAACCCTTGTTTTCTACCTACAATCCCCCCCCTTCTTAGTTTTCCTTCCTTTAAATTTCCCCCATGAAATTTCAGTTCACATATTTTCTTTAGGTTCTATTCGAAATGGTCAATGGGGGTTAGTTGGGTGTCTACCTGTCGTTTGCTTACCGTGCTTTCAAAAATTTGATCGATAAATTTGAATCTTAAAACAACTTATATCGCATATATTGAGATAAAATAAACAAGTAAATAAACTCACCTTGATCGTGAATTGCCTGCATAACGGCTTGTAAGCGTTGGTACCGCAAACGAGGAACTTATTTGGGCTTTGCCTACCGAAAACTCGCAAATAATTTTGACACTCGTCATCGCTACGACCCTTCAAGTTGCATAATTCTTTGTGCGCGTAACTGCTTGACCATTGGAACCTCTGAAAAATACGAATCAAACGAAATTATAATTAATATATTTTATATATAAGACGTATATAATATTTTATTTTATTTTTGTCTCTTTATGTTTAAGATATTATTCTTGATTTTATTTTATTTTATTTTATTTTATTTTTTCTTTATGTTTAAGATATTATTCTTGATTTTATTTTATTTTATTTTATTTATCATACACGTATACAATAAACGAATAATAATTATCGAAATTGTATATCAATCGTATTCCCTAATAATACAATTTTTTCTTGTATGTCTCCGAATTTTTAAATAAATTTTTCTTTCGTTTAATAATGATAATACGACATAATAATGTGTGTGTGTGTATAATTTTAACGTTACATTAGAATTAAATAAAAAGAAAAATATATTCTTATATACAATCGATATTAAAATAATTAACTAATTACAAAACAAATTTTATACATACAATTATGTATAATAAAAAAAGAAAAAGAGAGTATACGTGAGAGAGAGAGAGAGAGAGAGAGAGAGAGAAGATTCGAAATAGATAATAATAAAATATGAAAAATAAAAGTATGTATAAAAACAGACAAAACGAAGGAAAGGAGGGAGGGGGGGTGGGAGGGAGGGAGAGGTGGAAGATGACCTATTTCGATTCAACGAAAACTACAATCCATAGTTTTTATTTCTCTCTCTCTCTCTCTCTCTATTTTCTCCTACCCCTTTTACATACATACACATACACGTATACACCACTAAAGTTTCTTTCTTTCATTTTACCATTTTTCCATACACGTCATTCTTTTCTGTTATCTATCCTAGAGATATATCTCTCTCTCTCTCTCTCTCTTTCTCTCTCTCTCTCTCTCTCTCTACGAGCTAACGATAGTTACTCGAAGTTGTACAACTATCGGTTGGGCTATCATTTTTCCCCGGAATACAATACCGGATAACGATAGCAAGAGCATCTTCGACGGAAACGCGTGTTTTCCTCTACGAACAGAAGTAAAAGAAATAGAAAAAGAGAGAGAAAGATAGAAAGAGAGAGAGAGAGAGAGAGAGAGACACTAGGTATGCCATTAGCCTGAGTACATTTCGATCGTATAAAAAAAAACACACACACACACACAAGAAAAAGGTATAAAAAGAAAGAGAAAGATTGTTTAAAAAAAAACAAAACAACGAGTATGCGAATAAAAGAGAAAGAAATAAAAATAGAGAGAAAGATAGAAAGGGTAGGAAGGATAGTAAAAAAGGAATGAATGAGTGAGAAAGAGAGAGAGAGAGAGAGAGAAAGTCGTATTTTTCTGTAACATAAAAGCTACTACCGGCTTACGTTCACGGCCCGTATTTTAACCCCAGACGACAAGCATGCCGACATACCCTTAAGTTTTATTAATATCGAACCGACAACTCGTAAGAAGACTAATTTCATTTTGTTTATTAAATAATTTCTATGTACTTGTGGGGAAGGGGAAGGGGGGGGGG